CAGGAAGGAAAGTGTGGCCCCAAAGGACCGTCTCCAAATGACATCGGCCCCTCTACAGGACAAGCTGCCTCTAGCAGAGACGCCTGTCGAGGGAGAACGGTGCCTCCTAACAGAGTTTGTTCTGGGTGACTGGCAATGAAAAATCCTGGATTTACTTAACTTGGGTTCAAGTAATCTTGACTGGTTCCCAGCACTGCAAGTTTGTTTGATCTCTTTCCATCAAAATTCTTTTTAACAGCTTCACTGAGATATTTCACATACCACAAAATTCACCCATTTGATGTCGTACAATTCAACAGTTACTTAGTATACTCATGGAGTTGTGCAAACATCACCACGATCAATTTTAGAACATTTTCATTACCCTAAAATGAAACGCCACACCCATTAGCAGTCACTGCCTTCCTCCCCTACAAATCCAGCCCTAGGCAACCACTAATCTACTTTCCATCTCTTCAAAAGGCTTTTATAATAAAATAATCCCTGGAATTTACTTTGATTTACTTCTCCTTGGCTGTTACGAGATGGAAAGGTCACAATAGCATGATGTCCCCCCGCAAAAAGACCAACAATGGTAGTTCTGTTCGGTCTCCCCACACAGAGGGCGGGCGGACAGGCCTGGCCCCCGCACGCCCGGTCGGCCCGCTGCTCGTCCCTGCATCGGACGCACAGACTGGACCCGAGGACCTGGCTCTAGCGGCTGGTCGCTGAGACCAGAGCTGCCTCAGCAGAGGAAGGCATAAGACTTTCCTGACGGAAGCTTTCTGCAAGTAATTCATGACCCTTCTCCTCAAGTTGGGAGAGTGATTTTTATTGTAAATTTGGGGCAAAGTTGCCAGAACTGGAAATGACGCTGTGCATGAGGACCTGTTTCAGCTCTGACGTGTTGTCCCTGCTGTGGGGACACAGCAGGGCTCTTCTCTACACGTTCCTCAGATGTGCAAATGTGAGAAAGTTACTAAAAAACAGGACAAATAATGCCTCCAGTACTGGGGCACAGCAAAGGAAGGAAATTCGCTCTGCGGTTGCTAAACTTAATCCAAATAAACCTCCTTAGAAGCAGCCAAGCGCAAGGCCCAGATTGTCTGTGACAATGAGCAGGCGGGTTGATTACCGCAGCTCAGCCCCGAGGTCCGCTGTCAGAGGTCTCCTGAGCAGTTATTTTGTGGTGCGTTACGATAGGTATTTTTGGACTGTCATCTCCTGCATTGTGTTAACCTCTTACTACCTGACATCTGGATTTAATGGCGTGGACAATGCTTAGTATTCATAAGTCAGTCGCCACAGGACAGCGAGGAGAGGAATGACGCCTATTATCTTGACACATCCTCAGACTTTTAATGGGATTCAAGTTGACTCCCTTGGAAACCACAAGATTTGCTGGCTAGCAAATGGGCGCGACCTGGATAACGATTCCTCCTGTCTGGTGCCTCGGCTACCTGCTGTCCTATACAAATAGCTCAGTTCCAAATCAGTTTAACTTCTGGAAAGCTCAGCGGACAAAGGGGGCTTCTGTGCATTTGTCAGAAGAGGGCTGGAGGAGACGGGTGCATGGATGGTAACATTTCTGAAAGAAGGCGGAAGGGAGGGGTTTTCCAAGTTGGAAAGAGGCTTGGGAAGCAGTAACTAAAGTCCTCCTTCTGCCTGTCGCCTGCCCTCGAGCTCTTAGACGGCTGGCGGCGACGCTGTCGCAAGTACCTTCCTCTGCCTCTTCTCAGTAAAACATGGATTTAGACTGTTAAGGAAAGGCAACTAACATTTAGTTGATACCTGCTCTTTGCTAGCTAAGGTTTTAATACATTATTTAATTTAATTATACCAAATCCACAAAAAGAAAGAACAATCCTGATTGTGCATAGGAGGCTCAGGTGAATTAATAACTTGGCCAAGTCACGGAGACATTAGGTGACAGAGCAAAGATGCGAACCTGGGAATCGCGGAGTCCACATGTCCCCTGAACCCTGCAAGTATTGATTTTAAAGCTGCATTTTCTTTTTTTGATGGTCAGCATTTTTTAGCAATAAAGTATTTTTTTTAAACATATCTTTATTGATTTCAGAGAGAGGAAAGGAGGGGGAGAGAGAGAGAAACATCAATGATGAGAGAGTCACTGATCGGCTGCCTAGCCCCCAACCCGGGCATGTGCCCTGACCAGGAATCGAACCCCGATCTCCGGGATCCTAGGTCGACGCTCAACCACTGAGCCAAGCCAGGCCAGGCTAAAGTATTTTTAATTAAGGTGTGTACATTGTGTTTTCAGACATAATGCTATTGTGCACTTAATAGACTACTGTAGAATGTAAACATGACTTTTATATGCACTGGGAGAAAAAAAGTGCTGTGACTCGATTTATTGTGATATTTGGTCTATCGGGGTGTCTGAAACTGAACCCACACCGTCCCCAGGCCTGCCTGTGCTCTGACCCTGGCTCCTGCCTCCCTCTTCCACCTTCATGGACCCTTCCAGTTACATTGGGCCACCTGAGTAATCTGGGCAGCCTAGGATAGCCCAGGATAATCTCTTTTTCTTCCTGCCAGCTGATTAGCAACTTGAGGAATTAAGGTGCTACCTTCATCTGCAGGGAAAGCCCTTATTTCCAACAGCAGCCTCTAGGTGGCCAGAGCCCCGCTGGAAGGCTCTCTGGAGGCAGTGTCCTGGGCTGTACCCTCAGGCCCTGGCCGCACAGAAGCTCAGGAGTGAACAGACCATCCCCACCTTGAGAATGTGTTGGCCCCAAAGCTCTGGATACATTTCCCTACAGAGATAATAATATGCATGGTGTCTGGCTTCCTAGTCTCATCTACAAGCCTATTTTACTTATGAAGTACTTGAAAATGCTACTAATGGTACCTCAGAACCTACCATGTAATGATGCTTCTGTGGGGGAAAAAATTACTTGTGATCCCAGAAACACATTTCTTACTTACAGTGAAACTGGTAGAGGCTCCCACAGGCTGGGCAGGGGTGGACCCCGCAGAACAGAGGGTAGGAGGGAGTGGAGTCAGGGTGAGGAGCTGGGAAGCCCCCACCGGCATGTGAGGGAGCTGAGGCAAGGGCTGCCGGCTGCAGTGGGCCGGTGACCGGCTGCAGGGTGAGTTGCGGGAGCAGGCTGGGTGTTCATAACCGACAGCCCGGAGGCTGTATCTCGCCCAAGGCAGTCTTTCTTTCCTTTTTAATACGACCCACTGTCTATTCTAGTCCAGTTTTCCCTTCTCTTCAAAGCCACACTTTTCTTTTCCTCTGAAGGCCCCACGTGAGAGTCCACTGACTTGATAATCCCCAAAGTTTCTGGAACGCTTTGCTCCAGCCTGCAAATCTAATCATGGCTGACACCCCTCAGTTGTGTGTCGGTCCCTCCTGGCCCCACCCCACAGAACAAAGCCCTCCTCTTTCAAATGATTAGCAAGCTCCATCCAAGCCCGACCTACTTCCCCACACTCTCAGCACCCCGGTCAGTTCCCAGCATGCGGCCCGCTGTCTCAGGTTCCTCAGGCTGGCCCCTCTGCCCAGAATGCTCTTCCAGTCTTTCTTCTTCTGTTAACTCGCATCGTCTTCTAAGACCCTGCTCACAAGTATCTTCTGAAACTGCCTGACCCCCAGCAGGGATGTGTCTTCTTTTGTGCTCCTCTGTGTTCCCCGTGCATCTCTCCCCCACCCCTTTAAATGACATTATACTGAAGCCATTTACATGCATGTCTTCCCCAGTTCCATGTAACTGAGCTTGCTGGGGACGGTCATGCTCATTCTCTTTACATCCAGCACCTGCCACAGCTCCTAGCTGGAATTCAACAAATATATGCCAAATTGGAGTGAGGATGGCTTCCTAAAACTGCTTGTAGTGGATGCCCCTCTGCACGAGGCCCTCACTCCCCCAGGCGCTGGGCCTGCTGTTGGCTATCGCTCACAGCCCAGTCCCTCCCGGTGCCCAAAGTTACAACCCTTCCCCAGGGGCATTTGATAGCCAATGGCTGGTCCATGTGGGGTAACAAAGCCTGGATCCTCAGCCTTTGAGAGCCACTCCAACTTCAGATCCTCACAGGCTTGGCTGAGGCATCTGTCATACCTGCTCTGCAGTGTACCCTTCCTCTTGGCCCAGCCCTGCCCGCCTCCCTCCGCAATAACCCTCATGCATGCAAGTCTCCATTGCAGCGTCTGTTCCCACAGACCCAACTCACCGCAGGCCTGCTGCTTCCACCCAGGTCTTCACTGGCTGCTTGTTGGACAGAGTGCCTTTTCCTGACTGTGCAACACTAGAAGCAAGTGATCTTTCCCGAGGGGACTCTAACTGCTCTAACAGTGAACAAATACAAAGGCCATACACCAGCTCCTTCAATGCCCCCTCATTTCTTCCTGGAAACATTTCACTTTGCAGCTCCCTCCCCTAGTTCCCCTTATTTTACAATATAGACCCAATCGGAAAGATTTAAGTGCACAAAGGTGCTAGTGATGGCGAATCTCACTGTGAACAAAGAACTCAGTGAAGATCAGCAAACATTCAGAAGAGTGCTCAGTCAGGGGCTCCACTGAGGGTTTTACTGCAGGAGCTGAGGTGAGGTTGGGGCCTGGCTGAGTTTGCAGGAGGCAGGGAGACTGTGTATGGAGGGGACACGCTGTGTTCACTCACTCAGCCCCCTGCCTCTTCTTCTTGGCTATGAGAGTGACCTGAGACACAGTCCAGACAGGGGTGAGGTGGTGTGTGGGGAGCTTTTCTGAGGGTATGATGTTTAAGCTTGTGCCAAAAAGGGACTATTGCCTCTCCGCAGATGTAGACTCTTCCCTGAGATGGAGCAAAAAAGAGGTAGAAATGGGCAACAGCTCCAGGGAGAAGAGGAGGGGAACTCCAGGCAGGAGCCCGGGCTCCAGTAAAGAATTTCCTCCAGTTGTGGTGGCAGCTTGGTGGTGGCCATCCCTACTCCAGGGCTGCAATGATGGGCATGAAAATCAAGGTTCATCTGCATTACCAAAACGGAATGGTTATTTGGTAAAAGGCTTGTATTACCTTAATGCTGCTTTTTCTACGCTTTTTTCCCCTTTCTAGTTGAAACAGATAGCCTTCAGAGTTGGCACGACTAATTTTCATCTGGTTTCTCTGGCTTTCCTCTGAACTGAGTTGGGATTCGCTTTCTCCTGTTGACAGTATGGGTGGGAAGATGCTGCTGGCTGAGGCCCCCGCACTGGGCTGCACCTCAGCCAGCTGCATTAAGGCTTGCTGATGCTGCTCCATGAGCTGCGTGAGCCGGGAGCCCGGGGACGCTCTAGCAGGTGGGCCGTCGGAGGAAGAGTGGAATTTCCTTAATGGAAAGAAAGTGCAAATCTGTTAATAAAACCTGGGTACATACACAGAATAAAAGTCTTTATGAACTATTATTTTGATGTATTTATTATTCTGTAAGTCACTTTAATGAACATTAGCTTAACCTTTTCATAAATACATTAACTTCTTATCTTAAAATATTTATACTTGTTTTCTTTAGGATAGTCTAGCTTTTATTTATAACTATCACTTAACATATTTTAAATAGAAAAAAACAACCATTTTGAAAAATCAAAGAACTTTCCACTCCAAAACACCTAAAAATGTTGGATTAAATTAAACAAAAATCCTTTTCAATATATAGTTGAATTTGTAAGAGAAGCAGAAAATCTTCAAAGACCAAAAACTAAAGAAAAAAGGCAACAACCCTATACCGAAAGCAGGTTTTGCATAAGCGGAAGCTATGGGTTTCTTGGTAGAAGTTTTAGACCTAATAGCTTGAATTTTAAGATTTAACACTGGCACTGGATAGTGAGATCATGGCCCATGTGGGGCAGGGAACCAGAACTGAGGTGCCTACACAAAGTCTGTAACCCTTGAAGAGCTATGTCCTCAACAAAAAGGTGGATTAGTGAAAAACTCATTCATCAGCCTTGAGAAACAACAGGGCAAACCTAGCTGTCTTGATCTAGGCTCTGAACTGAAAAAAAAAAATTCCTGTGAATTTCCATGGGAAAATATTTAGGGTTCAAATTTACTATACCCACATAATCATGTAAATTTAACACCAAGAAATTAAGATAAAAATGATCCTGGAATAGAGATACCTCTGTAATAACTGGTGGAAACAAATAAAAAAAGTTATCTGGAGGGATACACTCTCACACAAGTCTGCCTAGCAGTCTACTGGAATGATGGATAAACATAAATTCACAATCCAAAATCCTAGGACATGTGGGGAAATATTCTACCAAGTATGAGAGTCAGCAGACAAACATGCACACACACAAAGCAGGAGCAGATTTCTAAGAACTCCAGATAATAGATAACATTCATAAAGTGAGCATGTTTAAAATTATTAAAGACAGGAAAGAAAAAATCAAAACTCTGAGAAACATATTTGGAAAAAAGAGCAGGAAGGTTTTAATCAGAACCAAATAGAAATTCTAGACATGAAAATTACCCTCATTAAAATTTACAACTCAACAGCTACATTCACGAGCATGTTGAGCACAGCTGAAGAGAGTTATTGCATTGGAAAACTCATCAGAGGAAATTCCTCAGGAGCAAAGAGAGATAAGAGCTGGAAAATAAAGAACAGTTAAAAAGACACAGAGTCCAGAATAAGATAATCTAATGTACATGTATTTGGTGTTTCCAGAGGGAAAATATAGCAAATGTGAAAGATAATATTCGAAGGGAAAACTGGTGGTAATTTTTCAGAATTTATAAAAGAGATGAATCCTCAGATTTAGAAATCACAGAATAACAATAAGCAGGACCAAAAATTTCATACATAGATAAATCACAGTGAAATTTCAGAACACTGAAGGCAAAGGAGAGGCCTTAAAACCAACAAGAGAAAAATAGGCAAGTTATGAACAAAATAAATAATAATTATATTGACAAAAGGTTTTGAAAAGAAACACAAACTAGGAGATGGAAAAATAATGTTTTAAAGAGTTTAATTCTTTACCAGGTTAAACTGTAAGATAAAGGATAAGGTAATTTCAGGTAAGTTTACCAATACACACACTTGCTGAAAGAACTTCTACAGAATCTACTTCAGGAAAAAGGAATAAAATGGAAGAAAGACTATGAGGCAAAAACATTAATAAGCAATTAGTTAAATCTAAAACATCATTGAACAAGGGGAACCAACATGGCAGTGGAGTAGGTGGAAGCTACACTCACCTCCTCCCAGGACCAAACTGGAACTACAACTAAATATAGAGCAGTCAACCTGAGTAACCAGCTGAAGACCAGCTGAACAGAAGTCTTATAACCAAGGCTTTACAGAAGAAGCCACATGGAAACTGGTAGGAAGGGTGGAGATGTGAAAAGGGATGGCCCGTACCCACGGGTGGCAGCTGGGATTCTGGAGGGATGTCTCAGCTGCAAAGCTTCCCCCTGAGGAGTGTGGGGTCTCAATCCCATGCTGGGATCCTCAGCCCAGAGCACCAGAGCTGGGAAGAGGCACCCACATAACATCCAACTGTGAAAAGCAGTGGGGTTTCTGTCTGCCAGGGAGAGACAGAGTCTGCTGGAGGTACAGGCACCCTCTTACAGGGCCAGCAAACAACATCTTGTCTGCAGTCACTCGCCCTTGGCTCCAGTGGAGGGAGAGTGGAGCAGACTAGAGTCACAAAAGGAAAGGCTATGGTATGTGGCTCTGGGGAAAAAGATGAAGGGACATCACTAGGATCCCTATGCAGAGTCCCTCTCCCATACCACAGACACCATCTTCTTAGGCTGGAGCACTCTCCTCCACATGGCATCAGCCATGGGGAATGTAATAGCCCCATCCTCTGGACTCCTTGTTGCTGCACCCTTAAGAGCTGGTGCCCTGCTGAGGAGTTAGCTGCATGGGCTGGGGCATGTAGAGGTCTGGGGAGACTTAGGGGGTGTTAATGATGGAGTGGTGTGGCTTTGGGGCAGGGGTCATTCCTTCCACTTTCCCATGAACCTGACTGGTGTCCCCCCTGTCAGGAGATCCAATAGACCCAATCTTCAGGCTCCTGGAAGCAGCACCCCTCTCATTCCCCACCTCCATTCCTAGTGGCTCTGCCCTGATGAGGTCTGAACAGAATCTGGTACAGACTGCATTGTATGGTTCTGGGGTGGGGGACACTACCCCCGTGGTCTCCAAAGCCTTACTGACACTTGCCCCTCAAGGGAGATCCACTAGCACAATCCTCCTGACTCCCGGTAGCCATGTCCTATAGAATCTGGGACAGACTGAGTTGTGTGGTCTAGGAGAGGGGCCATTTCTCCCTCCCATGCCCAACTAGAGCAGAGCCCTCTCTTCTTGGTCTTCTTGGGATTGATAAGCTCTGCTGGCCTAACCCTGATGACTCCCTGAGACCCTGCTCCACCACAAAGTTGTGAAAGCAATCAGCAGGTGTAGATAGAACTAAGTATACCCTGGGACAATTGCTGAGTGGCCTTAGGCTCAGCACTAGCACCAGGTTTGAACCTGTACAGATCTGGTGAAGACTTCTTGTCCTTACCTGGTGACTCACTGAGAACCTACCTCATGCAACTCGAGTAACACCAGAGGCTCTTTCAGTAAGCCCAACAAGCAGCTGGCAGGCAGAGGGAGGCAGAAGCAGATCTCAGGGTTTGTTAGGCCTTTTGCTGACCTGCCCACAGGCTTGGTGCTGGTGGAAAAAGGCCTTGAGGCGCAGCTTGGTCCTTCACACACCCAGGCTCAGCAGAGACAGCCACAAATTGTGGATCACTTTGTGCCTCCAAACAGGTTGCCCAGAGAGCAATGTCTGACATTGGCCTGCATCAGAGTCTCTCCTAAGAGGTCGCAGAGCCAACACACACAGTGGCCAGCTTCAGACAACATCAGAGCAGAATCCAACTAGCAACACAAGCGGCATATCCACAGGGAGATCTGGGCAGGCTAAAGACCCTGCGGAGGGGAATCCTGCTTTCTGTGGTCAACACCTGCACAGCAGCTTATACACTATGGTCAGGGTTGATCCTTAAAGTCAGCCAGGCTGAGGGTCAACCCCACACACAAATGGGCCAATCACAATCAAGACTCAACTACAACAGGAGGGCCCACATAACCCACACAAGGGATATTCATGAAGTCCCCAGCATAGGTGACCGAGGAGACTGTGCCACTGGGTCCCCTAGGACACCTACTACATAAGGCCATCCTACCAAGATGGAAGTCATAGTAGATCTGTTTAATACATAGAAACAAACAAAAAGAGACAGCCAAAATGAGGAGACAAAGAAACATGCCCCAAATAAAAGAACAGATGAAATCTCCAGAAAAAGAGCTGAAAGAAATGAAGGAAAGCAATTTATCAGATATAGAGTTCAAAACAATGATTTTAAGGATTCTCAAGAAACTTAGAACTATAACATCATGAAAGTTGACATAGAAACCATAAAAAGAGCCAGTCAGAAATGAAGAATACACTAGAAAAAATAAACAGTAGGCTGGATAAAGCAGAGGATCTAATCAGTGATTTGGAAAAAAAGGTAGCAGAAAACACCCAATCAGAGCAGCAAAAAGAAAAAAGAATTTTTAAAAATGAGGATAGATTAAGGGACCTTTGGGACAACATAAAGCACAACAACATCTTCCTCATATGGGTACAGGAAGGAGAAGAGAGAGAGCAAGGGATCAAGAATCTATTTGTAGAAATAATGACTGAAAAGTTCCCAAACTTGTTGAAGGAAAAAGACACACAAGTCCAGGGAGCTCCAAGGGTCTCGAACAAGATGATCTCAAAGAGACAAACACCAGGACATAATAAAATGGCAAAGGTTAAAGACAAAGAGAGAATCTTAAAAGCAGCAAGAGAAAGACAGTTACTTACAAGGAGCACCCGTAAGACTGTCAGCTGATCTCAACAGAATCATTTCAGGCCAGAAGGGATAGGCATGAAACATTCAAAGTGATGAAAAGCAAGGACCTACATCCAAGACTACTCTACCCAGCAAGGTTATCATTTAAAATTGAAGACAAAATGAGCTTCCTAGACAAAAAAAAAGCTAAAGGAGTTTGTTACCACCAAACCAACATTACAAGAAATGTTAAAGGGCCTCCTTTATTGATAATGATAATGACAATGCAGAGGAAAAGAAAAAGAAACAGACAAACATAGTTGAAAGAATAAAATGGCAATAAATACATACGTATCAACATTCATTTTAAATGTAAATGGATTAAATGCTCCAATCAAAAGACATAAGGAAGCTAAATGGATAAGAAAACAAGACCCATATATTTCCTATCTACAAGAGACCAACTTCAGAATGAAAGATACACACAGACTAGGAGTAAAGGGA